GAGTTCAGATTTCAGCTGATTTATTTCAGGGAAATGAAGGTTGTATAAGGTAAGATATGCAGAAATCCACTTAATCCCAGGCTTAACTATATAGAGACCCTGTACTTCTTTAGACTCAGGGTTCTGAGAAGGATCCAGAAGGAGCTCCTGAGATTAATTACCATTTATAAAGTCCTTACCTCAGGACCCTGGCAACTGAATCCCCTCTTCCAGCTATCGGCCTTCTGGAACGGGGAAGGCAGTTTCTGAAATAGGTGCTTTCCCTTTCTCCCACTATAAGCCACAGTGTTTAGGATGACCACTGCTTCCAGATTGTGTGTTTTGCCCTGGCAAGGAAATCCTATTGTCGGGGGAGGAAATGAGGCGGTGGTGACACAGAGTGATGGATGAGCCTTTTGCTTAACAGAGAGAGAGAGAAAGCGGGCAGACCGTGCAGAACTGAGTGGCTCTTGGGTCCTGAGGGCTTCCCCTTGGCCAAGCCCCACCCCAAAGCCCAGGAAGTCCACAGCTTGGCACTCAGCCAAGGCGAAAACATTCCTCAGGACTCTGACAGGCTGGGGGATGGTTCCTACCATGAGGATGGGGTAGGGGAAGGAAACACCAGAGAAGGAAATGACCACAGAGAAGGGGGTGAGAGTAAGAGGTGGGGAGTGATTTCTCAGTGCTCTAAGTCCCTTTTAGAGAGAAAGGTTGAGGCTAGAGGCCTTCTCATTGGCTTGTGAAGGGCTTGCAGCCTCAGAGCAGATGACTCCTGGGTCACCCCTCTGCTCAGGGTCATCCCTGATGACCCAAGCTGTCCTCTGGAGGCTTGTTAACTCCATCTCCCTCCCTTACTCTGGGGTTGTGGTTGAGCTTGGGAGCCCCTGAGTGGCTAAAAGTTGGAATTGCAGTTGTGCTGGGGGAGGAGCCCATCTGGTCTCCCTCTGCCTCTCCACCTCTGCCCCTCCCTTGCCTTCTCCCTAAGCCCAGGACTCTGGAAATAGCACCTGGTAATGGGAGTACTGACAGAAGCTGAGTTATAGGAGAGCAAATGTCCTGGCTAGAGTCCTCAACATTCTAGTTCGATCGCTTTTGGGCTGTTTCCCTTGAAAACAGGTGCCCTAGCAAGGATTGAAAAACTACCTATTGGCTACTATGCTCACTACCTGGGTGACAGGTTCAGTCATACCCCAAACTTCAGCATTACACAATATACCCTTGTAACAAACCTGCATAGGTACTCCCTGAATCTAAAATAAAAGTTGAAATTCACACACATACAAACACACACAAAAGAAAAAGAAAATAGGTGCCCCAGGACTCCTCCCATTCTCTTCCACAAATTACTGTTTAACATGCCCCTGGGTAGTGTGCTTCTTGGCTACAACGAGGTCCCTCTTCTAGGGCTCCCAGGCTTGTAGCTTCTGGACAATCCACTATTCACGACCCATATGACCTTGGAAAAACAGCCCCACAATAATTCTGATATTAAATATACCCTTCCCTACCTGCACTACTTAGTCTTACTCTTCCTTCTCTGAGCCTTGCCCATAACTCCTTCCCCAAGTTAGCCTCCAACCTTGAATGTTTCCTCACCCTCAGTTCCCTACCCAATCCTCCAACCCTTCATGTCCTGTAGGGAATAGGAGGGAGGTGAGAAACGGACAAAGCTTAGGTTAGACTTTTTTTCAAGGAAATTAGTGTGGCTTCCTTTGACCTATTTTCTAACTTTCCCTGGTTAGCCCCCTTGTTCCATGTGCCAAGGCTTCCCACTGGACTAATTTTTGCTGCCTGCCCTACTCCTTCCTCCAGCATGATCTCCTGGGGCTCTTCCCATCCAGGGAAAATGTTCCCCAATGGGAAGAGAGGGAGATATTCCATTTTGGAAACAATTTATGTCAGCTCGAGGAATCCGAGCTCATAGACAACTAGAGTGTTGCTGGGGAAGAGGGTGGTGGTAGTGAGCAAAAGCAGCTCACCCACCCAGAGGAGGCCCTGTTCCCATCACCCAGTCCATAATTAGGGTATTCTTGGCTCTTGTCTGGAATGAGAGGATCTGAGCACTCTGCCAACATCATGAAGAACTCCACGGAAATGGAGTTGGAGTAGAGGTAACCAACTTTGCAGCTGGAAATGAAAACTTTATCCAACTCCATCCCAAGGTAGTTTTCTTTGATGACACTCTTCTCTTGCAATCGTCTCATCGTTTGACTGTGTAATCTTTAGTTATTAGCCAGGGAACTATATGGATATTAAATCATTTTAAGCAGAGGCAGCTGCATTCCCTATTGTACTTAAGCCCTCATCAGCTTTCCTCCCCTCAAACTGCTGCCCCAGTCACCCTGAAGGGGGCACTTTTGTTCAGTCGTTAGCTGGTGCCAGCTCAAAGGGTGCCTCAGGAAGGAAACATAACAATTGGTCACATGTTGGGGGTGAGGGTTCTCGCAGGGGCTGCTGGGACAGGGAAGGGAGATCCACGTGGAGTGGGCGGAACGTGCTGAAAATTTTGGCGGGGCTAGCAGGAGAAAAATACCCAAATTTGAGTTGTGATTTTTAAGGGGGGGGGGGGCAGGAGGGAAGGCAAGGAGGGTGTATCCTACACTCTGAGAGGCCCCTGAGACAGGGAGCAGGAGAGCAGCACACTAGCATCCTGCTTGCACAACGCAGGGCAGGGTTTCTCCCTGAAAGAGCTGAGCCAGGCCGGGCTGCAGAGTTGGAAGCCTCTGTGGCTTCATACTGGTTTCCCATCCCGTATCATCTCAGAGAAGGCAAAGGTGGCCTCTCCAACCGTGGTGTCCTTTTGGTGCACAGGACTGGGTTAATACCAGCCACGCAACTACAGTTTCTATTTACCTTTCTGAGAGCTTCAGGAAACCGTCCAGATGAACCCTCTTTCCCTGGGGAGAAGCCAAAACGAGTCTCCTCCTTTTACTACCTAGTTCTGCCCCACTGTTGGCTGGAAAACATAGCTTGATACAGTCATAAAGCTGCAAAGGACCTTAGAGATGATCTATTTCCATTTTCTTTTTTGGTCTGAGAAAACCAAGCCCAGTCAAGTAAAAAGGTTTGCTGCATCTTCTTTCCACAACATAGGCATTCCCTTCAAAGAATGTAGGTCATAGAAGTGGAAATCTGCCATTCTATAGGCCTTAGAGGGACGGTGAAAGTGTTGGCTTTAACTCTTTCCATATCCTAGGCAGAGGGCAAAAAGAATGGTTATCTCATTAGGGACAGAATTGCTTAGGGAGGCCGATACAGTGGCTAAATCCCGACATAGTGACTGTAATATACCAGCACTTTGGGAGGCCAAGGCGGGCAGATCATCTGAGGTCAGGAGTTCAAGACCAACCTGGCCAAAATAGTGAAATCCCATTTCTATTAAAAATATAAGAAAGAATTAGCCAGGCATTGTGTCAGGCACCTGTAATCCCAGCTCCTTGGGAGGCGGAGGTTGCAGTGAGCCGAGACTGCACCACTGTACTCCAAGCTGGGTGACAGAGCAAGGCTTCGGCTCAAAAAAGAAAAAAAAAAAAAAGACTTAAGGACTTGATTTACAGGTCCTAAACAGTTTTCCTAGGCTCCCTCACAGTTGGCAACTCCAATTTGCCCCCGAAGGCCTTTGAGAGCTCTCTTCTTTGTATTTCTTTTTTTTTTTTTGAGATGGAGTTTCACTCTTGCTGCCCAGGCTGGAGTGCAATGGCACAATCTCAGCTCACTGCAACCTCTGCCTCCAGGGTTCAAGCAATTCTCCTGCCTTAGCCTCCTGAGTAGCTGGGATTACAGGAATGCACCATCACACTGGCTAAGTTTGTATTTTTAGTAGAGATGGGGTTTCTCCATGTTGGTCAGGCTGGGCTCAAACTCCTGACCTCAGGTGATCCGCCTGCCTTGGCCTCCCAAAGTGCTGGGATTACAGGCTTGAGCCACCACACCCACCCCTTCTTTGTATTTCTTAGTTCAGGGATCACCACAGCTTAAAACCTAATGGTTTGGAAGCAAGAATTCTTTTTCTTCTTAGAAGACGTCTTCTCAGGTTTCACTTTTCTGGTGGTTTAGCCAGGTCATCCTATGACCTGAGATCAAGACCAGACTTCCAATCCAAAAATTCCAGCCTTGGCTTTGGTGGGGAAAAGCATGTTTACTTAGTCTGGAGCAGTGAAATCCTAGACTTTGGATTTTAGAGCTGTAAAGTTTCCAGGAAAAAAAAAAGTTAGGGCCAAGGCCAGTGGCTCATGCCTGTCCCAGCACTTTGATAGGCCAAAGTGAACAGATCACTTGAGCCCATGAGTTTGAGACCAGCCTGAGCAACATGGTGAGCCCCCATCTATACAAAACGAGGCTGGGCGCCGTGGCTCACACCTGTAATCCCAGCATTTTGGGAGGCCAAGGCGGGCGGATCACCTGAGGTCAGGAATCTGAGACCAACCTGACCAATGTGGAGAAGCCCCGCTTCTGTTAAAAATACAAAATTAGCCAGGCGTGGTGGCGGGCACCTGTAAGCCCAGCTACTCGGGAGGCTGAAGTCAGCAGAATTGCTTGAACCAAGGAGGTGGAGGTTGTGACGAGCTGAGATCGTGGGACTGCACTCCATCCTGGGCAACAAGAGTGAAACTCTGGCTAAAAAAAAAAGTAAAAATTAGCCAGGCATTGTGGCGTATACTTGTAGTCCCTGTGACTCAAGACGCTGAGGTGGGAGCATCACTTGAGCCTGGGAGTTCAAGGCTGCAGTTCAGTATGATCATGTCTGTGAATAGCTGCTGCACTCCAGCCTGGGCAACATAGCCATACCCAGATTAAAAAAAAAAAAAAAAAGTCAGCCAATCCCTGTTGTAGAGTCCCAAGCAGTGGTTCTCAAACTTAAAGTGCATCAGAATCACCTGGAGAGTTTATTGAAACACCACCTACTATATCTCACCCCAAAGTTTCTTATTCATTAGGTCTAGGGTGGGAAGCCAATAATTTGCATATCTAACAAGTTTCCAGGTGATACTGAAGGTGCTGGTCTGGAACCACAGTTGGGCTAGAGAAGAAGAAAACATGTGATTTATTCATGGAATTGCCATCTGGTTAATCTTAGAAATTTAATGGGAAAGCCCTCCTTCTCCCTCAGTGCCCTTTATATTGATCAACAAATCCTGCCAATTAGTAATAATGTGATAACTACATTATCAAGCATTACCAGATGCCACATGCTATGATAAACATTTTACATGGATTATCTCATTTAATCCTCACAATAACCCTGTGAAGTAAGGTATCAGTATAGTCATTTAACAGATAAGCAAACTGAAGTAGAAATTAAATAACAGACAGCCACTAAATGGGAGAACTGTGATTGCTGTTTGCAGTTTCACATCAGAACCTTTGCTCTTAACAGCTGAATTTCCTCCTGTTATTTCCTCTATATCTCCATGCCACTAGTATCTTTACTACTCATCATCTCACACCTGCACTAACAGTCTTTAAGTTGGCCTCCTGCTTTTGTTGCAGAGACACAAATATTGAAGTTACCTTTCCAGATACACAAACCTAATCATTCTATGCTTTGGTGGAAATCCTCTGATGTTTCACCAAGGCTGATAAATTATACATTCCTTGCCGGGTGCAGTGGCTCACGCCCACAATCCCAGCACTTTGGGAGGCTGAAGTGGGTGGATCACCTGAGGTCGGGATTTCAAGAACAGCCTGACCAACATGGAGAAACCCCATCTCTACTAAAAATACAAAATTAGTGGAGTGTGGTGGTGCATGCCTGTAATTCCAGCTACTCAGGAGGCTGAGGCAGGAGAATCGCTTGAACCCAGGAGGCAGAGGTTGCAGTGAGCTGAGATCATGCCATTGCACTCTAGGTGGGCAACAAGAGCAAAACTGCATCTCAAAAAAAAAAAAAAAATACACTCCTTAACTGGGCCTTCAGACCTTCATAATCTGGCCTCAATGTGTCTTATCCCTTATATCCCCCACTATCTAGAACTACACTCCAGCGAACTTCTCTCGTTTTCTACAATTACATCCTTTTTTTTTTTTGAAATGGAGTTACACTCTTGTCATCCAGGCTGGAGTGCAGTGGTGCAGTCTTGGCTCACTGCAACCTCCACCTTCTGGGTTCAAGTGATTTTCCTGCCTCAGCCTCCCTAGTAGCAGGGACTACAGGTGCACACCACTGCACCCAGCTAATTTTTGTATTTTCAGTAGAGACGGGGTTTCACCATGTTGGCCAGGCTGGTCCCGAACTCCTGACCTCAGGTGATCCGCCTGTCTCGGCCTCCCAACATCCTGCGATTATAGGCATGAGCTATCATACACCCAGCCCGGCCCAATTACATCCTTTCATGCCATGCCTTTGCAATGTTCTTACCTCTGCCTGAAATGGCCTATGATCTCAACCTCCAAGGCCCACCTAGTTATCACTTCCTCCTTAATTTCCTCCAGATAGTATGTTCACATTTGTTCCCAAATTTATTCTTCTCTAGATTTCACTTTTTTTTTTTTAAGAGATAGAGTGTTGCTCTATCAACCAGCCTGGAGATCAGTAGTGTGATCATAGCTCACTATAACCTCAGCCTCCTGGGCTCAAATAGTCCCCCCACCTTAGCCTCTTAAGTAGCTAGGACTACAGGCATGCACCACTATGCTTGGCTTTTTTTTTTTTTTTTTTTTCCAGACTGAGTCTCACTCTGTTACTCATGCTGGAGTGCAGTGGCTTGATCTTGGCTTGCTGCAACTTCTGCCTCCCGGGTTCAAGTGATTCACCTATCTCAGCCTCCCGAATAGCTGGGATTACAGGCACGTGCCACTACGCCTGGCTAATTTTTATATTTTTAGTAGAGATGGGGGGTTTTTACTGTGTTGGCCAGGCTGGTCTCAAACTTCTGACCTCAAGTAATCTGTGTGCCTTAGCCTCCCAAAGTGCTAAGATTACAGGTGAGCCACAGTGCCCAGAAATAATTTTAAAATTTTTGGCAGAGACAGGGTCTCACTGTTTCCCAGGCTGGTCCCAAACTCCTGGCCACAGGTGATCCTCCTGCCTTGGTCTCCCAGTGTTGAGATTACAGGTGTGAGCCACCACACCCTGCCCTATTTTTTTTAATATAACTGCCACTCTCAGTCAAGCTAAAGGTCAAAGGTAGATGCTTTCTCTTAATATATCTAAACAGCTTATTTACTAATTTAACCAATGTTTATTAAATGCTACTTTGTGGCAGGTATGGTTCTAGGTGCTGAGGATACAGCAGTAACAAAACATGAAGCAGCCAGGCGTGGTGGCTCACGCCTATAAAACCAGGACTTTGAGAGGTCGAGGCATGCAGATCACTTGAAGTCAAGAGTTTGAGACCAGCCTGGCCAACATGGTGAAACCCCATCTCTACTAAAAATACAGAAATTAACCAGGTGTAATGGTGCACACCTGTGATTCCAGCTACTCGGGCATCTGAGGCAGGAGAATCACTAGAACCTGGGAGGCAAAGTTTGCGGTGAGCCAAGATCGCACCACTGCACTCCAGCCTGGGTAACAGAGTGAGACTCCATCTCAAAACGCAAAGCCCCCAAAACCATGAAATTTACATTGCAGTGGGGAAGGATAAGGTAATAAGGTAAATTACAGGTAATAAGTGCTAAGGAGAAAAATTAAGCAGAAAAAGGGAAGCGGCAGTTTGGAAAAGGCTGTGTGTATACAGTATACACAGGGTGGCCAGAGGTCTCAGCTGACATACAGTCAAGAGCTGAAGGAGGTAAGTGAGGAAGCCATGTAGATATCTGGAGGAGGAGGGATCTAAGTAGAAGGAATAGCCAACAGAGTTACAGTAGGAGCTGAAGTCAGAGAGCAGTACTGAGAACCAGGTCCTACAAGCCTTATGATTTTACTTTTACTCCAAGTGAGATGGAGGCCACCAGAGAGTTCTGAGTGGAGAAAAATCCGATCTCACTCCCATCTTACCAGGATCACTGTGGCTGCTGAGTAGACTTAAGTGGGGGAAGACAAAGATTGAAACTGAGAAATCAATTACAAAGTTACTGCAATTTAAAAAAGTGAGATAGGCCGGGCACAGTGGCTCAAGCCTGTAATCCCAGCACTTTGGGAGGCTGAGGTGGGTGGATCACGAGGTCAAGAGATCGAGACCATCCTGGTCAACATGGTGAAACCCCGTCTCTATTAAAAATACAAAAAATTAGCTGGACATAGTGGCACATGCTTGTAATCCCAGCAACTCAGGAGGCTGAGGCAGGAGAATTGCCTGAACCCAGGAGGCGGAGGTTGCGGTGAGCCGAGATAGCGCCATTGCACTCCAGCCTGGGTAACAAGAGCGAAACTCCGTCTCAAAAAAAAAAAAAAAAAAAGAAAAAAGAAAAAGAAAGAAAGAAAAAAAGTGAGATAGGATTATATGGCGTCAGTCGAAGTGGAAGTTGTGGACGTGTTGAGAAGGTGTGGGATTTGGGACATGTATTTTGAAAGGCAATAGGATTGGCTGACTAATCACATATGGGGTGACAAAGAGAGGAAGACTGTAGAAATGGGATTTGGGTGGAAGGAATTCGGGAGCTTGATTCTTAGATATAAGTTTGAAATGCCTATTAGACCTCCAACTGTATATTATGTATATTAGATAATTGGATATGTATATTAGATAATTGGATATATGATTCTAGAGTTAGGGAATGAGATCAGAAAGAAATATAAATTAGGGAGCTGTCAGTATAGAGATGGTGCAGAAAGTCTTGACACTGAGGGCTGGGCACAGTGGCTCCCTCCTATAATCCCACCACCGTGGGAGTCCAAGGTGGGAGGATCACTTTGAGCCCAGGAGTTCAAGACCAGCCTGGGCAACAAAGGAGACCCTGTCTCTACAAAAAATAATAAGTTAGTCATGTGGCAGCCCATGCCTGTTGTCCCAGCTACTCAGGACACTGAGATGGAAGGACTGCTTCAGCCCAGGAGGTTGAGGCTGCAGTGAACCATAATTGTGCCACCATACGCTAGCCTTGGTGACGCAGCAAGACTAAGTGCCACAAATACACGAGAAAGCCTTGGCATGGAAAAAGCTCACCATATTCCATGTGCCCTCTCATCCCTGCCTACTCCATTCCTTGGTATCCCTAAGCTCAATACTTCCCTTGCTGATCTGAGGCCACAGTCTGGTGGAAGAGGGCTGGGCTCTCTTGGCTTCAATACACTCATACCCATTTGTTTAAAATTTCCAGTATCGGCCGGGCGCGGTGGCTCATGCCTATAATCCCAGCACGTTGGGAGGCCGAGGCGGGTGGATCACGAGGTCAAGAGATCGAGACCATCCTGGTCAACATGATGAAACCCCGTCTCTACTAAAAATACAACAAAAAAATTAGCTGGGCATGGTGGTGCGCGCCTGTAGTCCCAGCTACTCGGGAGGCTGAGGCAGGAGAATTGCTTGAACCCAGGAGGCGGAGGTTGCGGTGAGCCGAGATCGCACCATTGCACTCCAGCCTGGGTAACAAGCGGAACTCCATCTCAAAAAAATAAAATAAATAAAATTTCCAGTGTTTCATGCATTGGGCCCACAAAGCAGAGACACAGTTTTAATGAGAGGTTTTCACATCAGGCCAGAGGATGTCAGTCTTCTCCATCTCCATATTTTAAAAAGCACACCTCAGCCAGAAAAGAAAAACAAGCAATTAAGACCATTTCAGGGCCAGGTACAGTGGCTCACACCTGTAATCCCAGCACTTTGGGAGATCGGGGCAGGCAAATCACCAGAGGTTGGGTGTTTGAGACCAGCTTGATGAACATGGTGAAACCCCGTATTTACTAAAAATACAAAATTAGCTGGACATGGTGACACATGCCTGTAATCTCAGCTGCTCTGGAAGCTGGAGGCTGAGGCAGCTCAAGAATAACTTGAAACTAGGAGGCAGAGGTGTGGTGAGTCAAGATCACGCCAGTGCACCCTAGCCTGGGCAACAAGAGCAAAATTTAGTCTAAAAAAAAAAAAGACTATTTCAAAGTTTTTTGGGTCGGCCTCGGTGGCTCAGATCTGTAATCCTAGGACTTTGGGAGGCTGACGCAGGCAGATCACTTGAGGTCAGGCGTTGGAGACTAGCCTGGCCAACATGGTAAAACCTGGTCTCTACTAAAAATACAAAAAATTAGTACAGTGTGGTGATAGGCACCTGTAATCCCAACTACTCTACTCAGGAGGCTGAGGCAGGAGATTCGCTTGACCCCGGGAGGCGGAGGTTGCAGTGAGCCAAGATTGCATCACTGCACTCCAGCCTGGGCGTCAGACCGAGACTCTGCATCAGAAAAAAAAAAAAATTTTTTTTTTTTTTAAACGAGGAGTTCTTTGAAGACTTGTTGGCTCAATTGCTTGGACGTAAAGACACACATACATGAACTTGGAGAGATAGAAGCGCTCAACATAGAACACCCTAAGTATCCCTACTCCCTTTCAAGGGCTAAATTCCTTCAGAGATTTCCTTTGCTTCAGTCCTTCAGCAGCCTCCCGAAGATGCTAGGAGTCCTTTAAGAAGGCTGGGAAGATGGCCGTTGGGAAGAAACTGTCGGTAGCTGGCAATACTTCATCCCAAGGAGGCGGTGGCAATAGCTCCCTAGGCAGCAGACATCATGGATTTTCCTCCCTCTGGGAAGAAGAGGTCCCTCCGTTTCTGGTTTGGATTCCTTAGAGACAAAGAACTTCATTCTCTTCTATACCCGCGTGGGACTGCTGGGGAGGAGAGGGGGTAGAGGGATTAGACTTCTATCCCCATCAAACACCCGCGGGCTCAAAGAGGAGCCCGGATCCTGACTGGTCCAGGAGGGTGCAGGGCCGCGGGGCCCCCTCCGGCGTGGGTCAGGCACATTGCCAAGGTGCCCAGGGAAGGGGCCGCCCGGAGCAGGCCGGGGACTTGGAGCACTCTGGACGCTCCCACAGAGGCCACATAGGCCGCCTGCACCCCGCTTCCTTCCTCTCAACTCCATTCTCTCTCGCTTCTTTATCCCGGGGAGCCTCCGCTTTCCCCTTCTCCCCGCGGCCGCCCTCGCCCTTCTTCCCCCTCATGACCCTCCCCGGCTTGCCCCTCCCTCGGCAGCCCACCTTCGCCGCGCTCCTCCGCGCGCTCCTCCGTCCTCGCCCCTCAGCCCCGGCCTCCCTTCGCCGGCCCCCGGCCCCCGCGCCCCTTCCCTGCCCCCCTCTAGGCGGCTGCAGCCCCTTTCACAATAGCGCAGCCCGCCTCCCTTCTCTAGGCTCCCGGTGCACTCCCACCCGCTCCCCTCCCCGCGCATGCGTCCTCCGGTCGGCGGCGGCTGCGGCGGTGGCGGCTACCAGCGGCTCCGTTTTTTTAAAGGGAAACGCTGAGGCGCCGGGGGTGACTGTGGGGGAGGGGGACCCCGAGCCGCGGAGACCCCCAGGGGAGGCGACAGACCCCCCCCTCCCGGAGTAGGAGGGCTTTGGGCGGACCCAGCCCTCCACCCCCTCCTGAGGAGGAGGGGGGGAAAATGGAGGCTCGGGGCGGCTGAGGCGAGCTCCGGGGCGGGGGGCCGGGGCGGGGAAGGGGGGTGCAGGGTGGGGAGACGAGGCGGGCCCGGCCGGGCCAGGGGGGGCCGAAGCGAGCTCCGGGGATGAGCTCGGGGGCGTCTGGGTGCGAGCTCCTGCCTCTGAGGCGAAGGCGGCGGCGGCGGCAGCAGAGGCGGCGGCGAGGCCCCCATGGGCCGGCGGCGGGCCTCAGCCGCGGCCTCCACGTCTCCGCACGCCGGCGGGATGGCGCCCGGGCCCCGGAGGAGCCGCGCTAGCGGAGGCCTGCTGCAGCTCTGCTGAGGCGAGCCCGCCAAACTCCCCTCCCCCGCTCCGTCCTCGACCCCCCGCACCTCGCCCCTTCCCCACCCCCTCCTGCTCCGGACCACTATGACCATGAGATCCGCGGTGTTCAAGGCGGCCGCGGCCCCTGCCGGCGGCAACCCTGAGCAGCGACTGGACTACGAGCGGGCTGCGGCGCTGGGCGGGCCCGAGGACGAGCCCGGGGCGGCCGAAGCCCACTTCCTCCCCCGGCACCGTAAGCTCAAGGAGCCGGGGCCCCCGCTGGCCTCCTCCCAGGGCGGGAGCCCCGCACCTTCCCCAGCCGGCTGCGGCGGCAAGGGCCGGGGCTTGTTACTCCCGGCCGGGGCGGCCCCGGGGCAGCAGGAAGAGAGCTGGGGCGGTTCGGTGCCCTTGCCCTGTCCGCCCCCAGCCACCAAGCAAGCCGGCATTGGGGGGGAGCCCGCCGCTGCCGGAGCCGGCTGCAGCCCCCGGCCCAAGTATCAGGCAGTGCTACCCATTCAGACGGGCTCTCTCGTGGCGGCGGCCAAAGAGCCTACGCCCTGGGCTGGGGACAAGGGTGGGGCGGCCTCCCCCGCTGCCACCGCCTCGGACCCGGCGGGACCCCCACCACTACCTCTACCCGGGCCGCCACCCCTCGCGCCCACCGCCACCGCCGGGACCCTGGCGGCCAGCGAGGGCAGATGGAAGAGTATGAGGAAGAGCCCTCTCGGGGGTGGTGGTGGCTCGGGAGCCTCCAGTCAGGCCGCCTGCCTCAAACAGATCCTTCTGCTGCAATTGGACCTCATCGAACAGCAACAGCAGCAGCTGCAGGCCAAGGAAAAGGAGATAGAGGAGCTGAAGTCTGAGAGAGACACGGTACGGGAGGGGTTAATCCGCTTTCGGGCTGAGGAGCGAGTTGTGCGCATGCTCGGGGGGAAGGGGGCTGTAGGAGGTTAAGGCACCCCCGGGTTAGGGGTAAAGGAGGTTGGCCACCAGCAAAGGAGTATCTTAGGCGTTGTGTCTCCGGGAGCCAGGCTCACAGACACATTGGGTTGGAAGGAAGGGCTAAAGAGCAACCTCCCGGGGGAGGGGGAGGGGTTTCAGTTGCCAAAGGGTTAATTTAAAATGACAGCCCCAGACGTGTGGGAAAGACGTTTAGAGTGGGAAAAGACCTGATTTGTGAGGGGTTAAAAATGAAAGGGTGGGGAGTAGGTGTTGTGGCCTAACTTATGGAAGGGTTAAATTAAAGAGCGATTGCGTTATAGAAATGCACGGCGGAGGAGAGGGCTGTAGCGAGCAGCTGTTGCTCCCACCACGGCTGCAGCATCTTTAGATAGGAGGGCAGTAGGCCTTTTAGTGGGGACAGGGGTAGAGGTGATTTACATGGAATCCTATTTTAGTTTTCTTAAATGATATTAAGAGAATCATTGCCTTTGATTTCAGACAGTTTTTAATAGGAACCTGAGTTCTAATACATGACACACTGACCAGGTCCCTTGTATAAGCATGGTGTTTGAAGCTGGAAGATTTGAGGGCATCAGGGAAAAGTAAGCTTATTAAATGTATTAATTAGACCTCCCCATCCTTATTTTAGAATCTTAGGAAGTAGGAAAGTCGTTTATTATTTCTTTACTTCTGAGGAGCTTGAGGACACAGGCTTGTTTTTACTGCAGCAGTAGTTAAGGGCACCTCCGCGTTAAAACATATTCCTTCAGATATGAGGGAAGCTGCGGTGGGGGTGTTACTGTGCTAGCATACCTTACAGCTGCCTAAAAATAAACATGGTTTCTACAATTGTTGTGTTCAGGCTGCAGCAGTCTCTCCCTCCCTCTCTCTCTCTCCCCCCTCTTCCCTCCCTCCCTTTCCCTCTCTCTCTCCCCCCCCCATCTCCATCTCTCTCTCTCTCCTCTTTCTCTCTCTCTGGCGTCGTGTGCACTAAGAGCTGAGCAAGGGAGCAGAGGGCTATTCATTTTGTTTGCTTTCCAAATGAATCGCATCGAATGGCTGTTTTATTGGAGAATGCATTCTGCAAGGTGGATTGGGAGCTGGGGCAGGTCTCATTAAAATATCTCATGGTGTTGATTTGTGGAAGTTACTCAACATGGAGGTGGCACTGCTCAGCTACTGTACTGCAGTCTAGGGGTGTGATGGTACCGTAATTACAACACATCATATCCTTGTATTGGGGGGGTGGGAAGAGAAGAACCAGTGAAGGAGAAGAAATCAAGGAAATGTCACCCACAAACGGTGGTTAAGGGCTGTGAATCAAAATATATGTAAGGAGATGAAATGAGAGTATGGCTGACAGAAGGGTTCTCTGCTGATTGTGGAGGTTTCTGCTCAGTTCCTGAAGTAATGGCCCCTTTGCAGGCTTTCCTAGTCAGGAAAAGTGGGGTGAGTTAAGGATAGAGTGTCAGTCTGAACTTGGTACTCACTGCTTCTGTTGTATATTGCAATTTTAATGTTGTTTAAGCTTGTTTCACTTATTCCAGTTGTTGTTTGGCCTTGTCTGAAATCTATGCAATGAGTGTAATGAAGGCAGCATTCATATCACTGTCTAACCCAGATAAAATTCTTGAAATATAGAGTATAAGGAGCACAACACCTTTTCTCAAAACTAATACAAAGTTTTCAATAATAATAGACTTCCATTTTCTGTTTAGTTTTATAGTCCTTCCTTTTAACTAAAAGGAACTTTGATTTTAATAAATACTTAGATGAATAGGTATTTTTGGTGTCACCTCAGATATAAAGCAATGTGTATATGTCATGATTGTTGGAATTTATGGATACTGATTTCTGTTTTCCAAATGAAATGTTCATTGCTTTAAAAGTACCCCCCACACACACCCCTTTCAAATAACACCACCATCCCGAGTGGCACTGTATGAGCTCTTAATTCCTTCCCAATGTACTGTTTGCACTTTGCTGTTGTATATAGAGTTTTAGAGTAGAAGTAGAGAGGATAGAATTTGGACAATCTTAGGGCTTCTTAAAAGGACATGTAGGCTGGGCAAGGTGGCTCATTCCTGTAATCCAAGCACTTTGGGAGGCTGAGATGGGCGGATCGCTTGAGGTCAGCAGTTAAAGAGCAGCCTGACCAACATGGTGAAACCCCTCTCTACTAAAAATACAAACATTAGCCAGGCATGGTGGCAGGAGGCTGAGGCAGGGGAATTGCTTGAACCTGGGAGGCAGATGTTGCAATGAGCCATTGCTCTCCAGTCTGGGCTACAAGAGTGAAACTCTGTCTCAAAAAAAAAAAAAAAAAAAAAATGTATACAGTTAAAAAAACATGTATACAGTTAATTCTAGAAATTCCCAAACCAACTTGGAGCCACATGGGTAGCAGTAGCAGACACCATGCCATTAAAAGACATGTTATGGCCCCTCCCGGTGGAGAGGATCTCCTTACAGAAGAATGAATTACAAATTCCCCCATGCCTCTTCCCATCTAGATTAGCCCTTAAAATTAAACCATATACCTTGTTTTCTCTATTTTGTTTAAGGAAAACTGTTCAGATTACTGTCTGCCTATTTAAAAAGTTGAGTTGATGTGATGTGGTCCACAGAAAGAGGCAGAAGACTACTGTTTCCTAAATGGGGCTAAGTATCTGTGTGTTTAATTTTTTGTGTGTTAAGTCTGCATTTTGCTACTCTCTCTTTTAGCTCCTTGCTCGGATTGAACGTATGGAAAGGCGGATGCAGCTGGTAAAGAAGGATAATGAGAAAGAAAGGCACAAGCTGTTTCAGGGCTATGAAACAGAAGAGAGAGAGGAAACAGAGCTATCTGAGAAAATTAAACTGGAGTGCCAGCCGGAGCTTTCCGAGACATCCCAGACTTTGCCTCCCAAGCCTTTCTCATGTGGGCGGAGTGGAAAGGGACACAAAAGGTGTGCTGGTAACTTTGTTTGATGAGGACATTTGTTACTAGTGATTGAGAATAGGGGATTGGGATTTATGAATTGATTATAGCAATCATAACTTGCTTTAGAAGTCTTCTATGCTGGCTGGGCAAGGTGGCTCACTCCTGTAATCCTAGCACTTTGGGAGGCCAAGGTGGGCGGATCACTTGAGGTCAGGAGTTTGAGACCAGCCTGGCCAACTTGGTGAAACCCTGTCTCTACTAAAAATACAAAAAAAAATCAGCCAGACCTGGTGGCCAATGCCTGTAGTCCCAGCTACTCGGGAGGCTGAGGCACAAGAATCACTTGAACCTAGGAGGCAGAGATTGTAGTGAGCCTTGATCATGCCATTGTACTCTAGCCTGGGTGACAGAGCGAGATTCTGTCTCAAAAAAAACAAGAAGTCTTCTATGCTGAGAAACTATCTTGAAACATTCTTATGCAGACTATAAATGTCTGTTTAGGAATATTTTGGTCACAGTAATAATTACCAAATGCAGCTTATATCATAAAGAGAATGGGCAACAAGTGTAACAGCTGGGTTTCTTAAAGAAAACTATAGCAATTCACTTCAAGTTAGGAAGTGTTAAACTCCTTTATTGTGCTGGGCACTGGTAGACATAAGAAAGTAAAATAGAGTCCAGGTGTCGTGGCTCATGCCTATAATCCCTTTGAGAGGAAAAGGTGGGGAGGGAGGAATCGCTTGTGCCCAAGAGTTTGAGATGAGCCTGGGGAACATAGTGGGCAGCATTTTTACAAAAAATCCAAAAGTTATCTGGGTCTGGAGTTAGGCACCTGTAGTCTCAGCTACTCAAGAGGTTGAGGTGGGAGGATGCCTTGAGCCCAGGAGGTTGAGGCTACAGTGAGCTGTTATTGCACCACTGCACTCCAGCCTGGGTGACAAAGTAAAACCCTGTTTCAATTTTTTTAAAAAAGGTAAAATAGAACTGTCTTTGGACTCAAATTAAGTCCAACTGTAAGGATGGGCATAAATTTTGAAAACTCGGAATTCAAATGTGGTAAAAGATGTAGATGTACAACACCTGATAAAAACTAAGGCTTTTTGTTTGTTCATTTGTTTGAGATAGGGTCTCTCTCTGTCACCCAGGCTGAAGTGCAAGTGGCACAAACATGGCTCACTGCAGCTTCCACCTCCTTGGCTCAAGTGATCCTCTTACTTCAGCCTCCCACGTAGCTGGAACCATAGGTACTCACCACCATGCCTGGCTTTCTTTTTCTTTTTGTAGAGACAGGCTCTCACTTTGCCCAGGTTGGTCTCAAACTTCTGGGCACAAGCTATCTTCCCACATCAGCCTCCCAGAGTGCTGGGATTACAGACATTAAACTAAGTTTTGTAAGATTCAGGGATATTAAAGATTATTCTGGGTTAGCATTGTGAAACTCTAAGTAGGAAATCAATCTTGAAAAAGAAATATAAAATTTAGAAAGGAGATGACTTTCTTGGGATGTGGTAGGAGAAGAAGGGAGGAAGAAAGAGGTTAGAGAATGCCAGCAGACAGCAAGAAAAAGGAAATAAAGATTGTAATTAACATGGTTCAGAGTTGGGGGAAAAGGAAAGAGACTGATTTCTGAGCTACAGGAAATAGGTATTACCTAATGAGTGGCACCTAATGTAGTACCTAATGTTGGCTAAAAGACCTTGAATAGTCTTTTTTTTTATGAGACAGAGTCTCACTTTGTCACCCAGGCTGGAGTGCAGTGGCGTGATCTCAGTTTACTGCAACCACCGCCTCCTGGGTTCAAGTGATTCTCCTGCTTCAGCCTCCCAAGTAGCTGGGATTACAGGCATGTGCCACCACACCTGGCTAATTTTTGTATTTTTTTTAATAGAGATGGGGTTTCACCATGTTGGCGAGGCTGGTCTGAAACTCCTGACCTCAAGTGATCTGCCTGCCTCGGCCTCCCAAAGTACTTGGATTACAGGTGTGAGCCACTGCACCTGGCGGAGCTTGAACATTCTTAAGCATGGAAACTCACTTGTTCAACAAACATTTACTGGCTGGGCACAGTGGCTCACACCTGTAATCCCAGCACTTTGGGAAGCTGAGGTGAGTGGATCACCTAAGGTTGGGGGTTTGAGCCCAGCCTGAACAACATGGTGAAACCCCATCGTTACTAAAAATAAAAAATTAGCCGGGCATGGTGGTGCATGCCTGTAATCCCAGCTACTTGGGAGGCTGAGGCAGGAGAATCGCTTGAACCTGGGAGGTGGAGGTTGCGGTGAGCCAAGATCGTGCCACTGCACTCCAGCCTGGGCAACAAGAGTGAAACTCAAAACAAAACAAAACAACATTTACTAAGGGCCCATTATATATCCTATTAAACCAGGGCTGTTCCTGCTCATGACTGCCAAATGAGCACCAGAGATTTAGGTACCTGGTCATTTTGGGGCAAAAGAACCAGCTTATTCTTTTGCTCCAGAATGTGTTCAAATTAGATTTTATTCAAGTGTCAATAAATTTTATAATGTTTTCTTCCCTATCTAATAGGAAATCCCCATTTGGAAGTACAGAAAGAAAGACTCCTGTTAAAAAGCTGGCTCCTGAATTTTCAAAAGTCAAAACAAAAACTCCTAAGCACTCACCTATTAAAGAGGAACCCTGTGGTTCCTTATCTGAAACTGTTTATAAACGTGAATTGAGGAGCCAAGAAACCCCAGAAAAGCCCCGGTCTTCAGTGGACACCCCACCAAGACTCTCCACTCCCCAAAAGGGACCCAGCGCCCATCCCAAGGAGAAAGCCTTCTCAAGTGAGATAGAAGATTTGCCGTACCTTTCCACCACAGAAATGTATTTGTGTCGTTGGCACCAGCCTCCCCCATCACCGTTACCATTACGGGAATCCTCTCCAAAGAAGGAGGAGACTGTAGCAAGTAAGGCATAGAGAACACTTGCTCTTATACCCTAGTGGTGGCGGTCAAGCTAACAAGTGTGAAAATGCCTTTGGCATTTTTTAAAAAGTGCAATCAATAAAGCAGAGTTCTGTCAAGAATGAGTAAGTTAACAGCCAGAGACAGACACTGTGCAGGCATTGCAAATAGATGGAATTACAGCAAAATGTGCTCAATGTATTTGCCTGCTTACAACACTGGGAGATGTGTTTGCCAGTAAGTTGCTCATCACAAGAGCACCAGACTTGGGGGTGTAATCTCCGGCAACTTGCATGCCCTCTGAAAGAAGGGTTTTCTGTGCTGTGAAATGCATAGAACTTATACTTTGCCATGCACGACTGTTCCTGCAATTGATATTGTGTGAAATCTGGGAGGGTGGTCTTTGGGTGTTCTCAGGGGCCAATGGTAATTTTTGGGTTGGGGAGCCAGCTTGGGGTGGGGAATTTTCACCTGGGCCTCCGATCTTTAACTATATAAACATTTATCTGTATCTCTATGTCCCGGTCTGGGGGGCAGGAGGAATCTGCCAAAGACCAACATTCTTTCTTTATCTTACTATACTTCACAAAGGTTCTAAAATGTGAAGAGTTTACTTGGATTGCAGTAGCCCATTGGTTGTTCATATATTTAAATAAAATGGTCTACAAACTATTTTTCAAACAATAAGGACTATCTTGGGATATCTGAGCTGCTTGGGGATGGTATGGGGTGTGGGACCTTGGTCTTCATTCCCTTTTTTTCTTTATGGCTTCCACACAGAGACGCTCCCCTATCTTCTACATCAACCAGTAACTGGAATGTGCCTTCAATCATGTAATATTAGTAGTCTATGTCAGTCACTGCGGTTACTCTGGGGTAATGGTTGGGGAGGCCTTCTAGGATAGAGCCGTAGTCCCAAGTTTCTACCACTGTGTCTTGCCTAGCAGGATTGGGATAGAAATCCATTCCGTGATACAAGTGCGTTCTCCAGGCTTTGTTTGGCTGTTTTGGTGACAAAATTAAGTGGGAAAGCTAGATTAGTCGTCTTAATTATCGAAAATCTATTAGGCCTCACACTTAAGTACATGAGATAGATCAGGATCCTGATCTAGGTTCAGATTTTTTGTTGGTTCAGTCAGTTGAACAGGTTCTTCCTTAATGGTTAACCTTTTTGCTGCCATGGCAATGCTGCGTAACAACTTGAAACCATGAAGCAACTTCCCATCTGGGATTGGGTAATGGCTTGGTCCAGAGCTGTTCTGTGTGACTGGCTATTTTTGAAAATCCTGTCTTCCCTAGTACAGACAATTTCAAACACCTCTGAGATTGTGGGCATAGTGAAACAAAGGAGTCTGACTGGGGAGACCCCAGCCCCTTGAGGAGCCTGAGTTGTGAATAAACGTGGGAATCCTTATTCTTGATGCCCCTATCTCAAGAGGAAGGCTCAATGGCTTGTTCTAGGGGAGCCAAAGTCTTTGTGCATGTTGTTCAGGCTGGACCAGCAAGGTAGTTTGTTTGGAGGGAGGAGGGAGCTGTTTAAGAAGACTAAATATGTAAGTTTTGAGAACACTGATCTTGTATTTGAAAAATAGGGTCAACTTTTACTCACCTGCCATGTTCTGAGTTTAAGGTTTGATATCCTTGGCCATCAACTGTTGCAGGGAAACCACCCTAAATAATGAAGAAAAGAAGTCGTCTCAGTGTAAAAAAAAAAAGTGGTGGGCTTATTTTCTTTTCTTTTGTCTGTTGTTCCCTCTTCCCCTCCCCCAGAGAGAAATTCTCAAAAGAACAACTCAAAAAACAAAATGGCTTCCTAGTGAGAACTTCAGTGATGATCCTTTCCTCCATTTGGGGTATGGGCTTTTTTTCTTTTTACACTGAGATTATTCTTCTTTCCTGCATTATTTAGGGTGTCTGATGCCATCAAGTGTTGCAGGAGAAACTTCAGTCTTGGCTGGTGAGTAGAATAGGACTTGTGCTGGCTGGGCCTGGGGTGGGGGTTGGTGGGGTGGTGGATGGTTGGGAGCTATGTTCCCCAGCAGCTGGATGTGGGAGAGTGAGATTTCTTGGCGTATGACTGATTACATTACTATAGACTTCAAAATGACAACACATTTCAGTTGTTTTTCAGGAACTGCAATAGCATCCATTATATGAATTGTCAGGTATTGGCTTAGGGTTTTTTGTGATCCTGCATTTGGCAGACTGCAATGGCATTTTAGGTTCTTTTATACCATAGCAAGCACACTGAATATGGCTTCAGGGAGGCCATAGAATGGATTCCTATCACTTGGTAACTTTGTCTCATCTGGGAAGAGACCTCTTATCCTAGTGAATAGTTGTGCAACTTTGGATTTAAGGGTGGTTCCACCCCTCCTCCCTTTCTTTTTCTCTCTTTTTTTTTTCCAGTTCCTTCTTGGAGGGACCACTCAGTAGAGCCTCTAAGGGACCCAAATCCTTCAGACCTTTTGGAGGTAGGTAACCAAGAGCAGTCAATTGAAGAGAGTTAGAGATTAAATAAAAATGAGGGTATAATTTTGAAAATGTCATAGTACTATGCATGAATTAATAGAATTTTAAGGCCAGATGGGAACTTGAGAAATTATCTAGTCCAGCTCCTTCATTTTATAGATAAAAAAACCGAAGTCCAGAGTCGTTAAGTGATTTTTAAAAAAGAAATAGCCAGGTAATGTTCAAAACAAAGGCAGAGTTTATGCTAAGTACAAAGGTTAGGGCTGGGTGAGGTGGCTCACACCTATAATCCTAACACTTTGGGAGGCTAAGGCAGGCGGATCACCTGAGGTCAGGAATTAGAGATCAGCCTGGCCAACATAGTGAAACCCCATCTCTACTAAAAATACAAAATTTAGCCAGGCGTGGTGGCACATGCCTGTAATCCCAGCTACTTGGGAGGCTGAGACAGGGAGAATTGCTTGAACCTGGGAGCCAGAGGTTGCGGTGAGCCAAGATGGCGCCACTGCACTCCAGCCTGGGCAACACAGCGAAACTCCATTGCAAAAAAAAAAAAAAAAAAGGAAAGAAAGCATATACGCCTCCGCCATAAAATTATGTATTCCAAGCTTATTTGACTCGTGAAGTTTTGATTTTTTTTTTTTTTTTTTGAGACAGAGTCTCTCTCTTGTTGCCCAGGCTGGGATGCAATGGTGTGATCTTGGCTCACTGCAACCTCTGCCTCCCAGGTTCAAGCAATTCTGCCTCAGCCTCCCAAGTAGCTAGCCTACAGGCATGCACCACCATGTCCAGTTAATTTTGTATTTTTCAGTAAATATGGGGTTTCTCCATGGTGGTCAGGCTGGTCTCGAGCTCCAGACCTCAAGTGATCCCCCTGCCTCGGCCTTTCAAAGTATTGAGATTACAGGTGTGAGCCACCTCACCTGGCCTAAAGTTTTGATTAAAGTCAGACTTTTACAAAGTATGGAGGCGGGGAGGGTTTATGGCAGTCTAGGGGTTTGATATGATGTTTACCTTGAAAAGTTATGGAAATGATTTTGAAATTTGGAGATTCTAAAAGGGTGTAGATGGGGAAAGGAGTATGTGTTTTGTGGATTCTGTTACCAGGAGGTTCCCATGCTATCCATGGAACCCACAGACTCAAGTAGAACTGGAAGGTGAAGGATGTTATACATTCCTGGAAGCTGGAAATTAGTATATGTGTGTAACTAATATATGGTGATAAATAGCTTATCAGCTGCTTTACTTTACACAGAACCTGGATGACAGTGTGTTTTCAAAGCGGCATGCAAAACTGGAGCTGGATGAGAAGAGAAGGAAAAGGTAAGGCCAGAGATGTCCATCCTGGGAACAACTGAGCCCTAGGACCTAGGACAGAGATCAGGGAACCTGACCTCCTTCTTTCATGCTATGGAGAATCTTGGAATGCTTAAGACTCTTAACATTACTGGCTCACCGGTTGGTTGAATATCTTAGTTGGAAATGGTAGTTGTTGTAGGTAAACATATTTGGCCTCTTTTTCTTTGTGTATGACCTTCCTCAGCTCTACTTTCTGTGGAACACCAACACATGATCTACATGGTAGACCTAAACAGCTCTCCCTTAACCAGGCAGTCGTTTCTCTTTACTCTGTCAAGAGGAGTCAGCAAGGGTCTTCCTAGCATCTGGATTGTGTGAGTTGCTTTTACAGAGCAGGTTTTGGGTAAACAGTAATGTTGGGTTTGTTTGTCTTGTTTTTCCCAGATGGGATATTCAGAGGATCAGGGAACAAAGAATTTTACAGCGACTGCAGCTCAGAATGTATAAAAAGAAAGGAATTCAGGAATCTGAGCCTGAGGTTACCTCATTTTTCCCTGAGCCAGATGATGGTAAGTTTTGTCCATCTAAAAGAGTAGGTTTGGCCGGGCGCAGTGGCTCACGCCTGTAATCCCAGCACTTTGGGAGGCCGGGGCAGGTGGATCACAAGGTCAAGAGATCGAGACCATTCTGGTCAACACGGTGAAACCCTGTTTCTACTAAAAATATAAAAAATTAGCTGGGCATGGTGGCGCGTGCCTGTAATCCCAGCTACTCAGGAGGCTGAGGCAGGAGAATTGCCTGAACCCAGGAGGCGGAGGTTGTGGTGATCCGAGGTCGCGCCATTGCACTCCAGCCTGGGTAACAAGAGCGAAACTCCGTCTCAAAAAAAAAAAGTAGGTTTTTCAAAGAAGAAGGAGGGTGCAAGGCTCCAGGGTACAACTTGCTCAGAATGAATGAAGTGTATTTTAGAGCAGATATAGTTTCTAGACATTTCTCATCTGGATTACTAATAAGCTCCCATTTGACTTTCTCCCATAGTTGAAAGTCTGATGATTACCCCCTTCTTGCCTGTTGTAGCATTTGGACGACCATTACCAAAATTAATTCCACAGTAAGTATAACTTTTTTTTCTCCCTTTCCAAGTAACTTGCACATCCCTTTCAGACTTCATGGAAGCCTAGATATGAGGTGGAACCAGGTGGCTTAGGGATAGCAATGGGTCTCTGACAAAAATGAGGCTACCTGGACAACTGGCTTTTGCAATGATAAGACTCCCAAGAAGGCTGGGCCCGGTAACTCTTGCCTGTAATTCTAGTACACTGGGAGGCTGAGGCAGGTGAATCATGAGGTCAGGAGTTGGAGACCAGCCTGGCCAATATGGTGAAACCTCGTCTCTACTAAAAATGCAAAAATTAGCCAGGTGTGGCATGTGCCTGTAGTCCCAGCTACTCAGGAGGCTGAGGCAGAAGAATCGCTTGAACTCGGGAGGTGGAGGTTGCAGTGAGCCAAGAATCACGCCACTGCACTCCAGCCTGGGCAACAGAGCGAGTCTCCATCTAAAATAAATAAATAAATAAAGATTCCCACGCCAATAATTGAAAGGATTGCTTTTTGAATTAGAAATAGATGATTCCGGCCGGGCGCGGTGGTTCAAGCCTGTAATCCCAGCACTTTGGGAGGCCGAGGCAGGTGGATCACGAGGTCAAGAGATCAAGACCATCCTGGTCAAAATGGTGAAACCCTGTCTCTACTAAAGATACAAAAAATTAGCTGGGCATGGTGGCGCATGCCTGTAATCCCAGCTACTGAGGAGGCTGAGGCAGGAGAGTTGCCTGAACCCAGGAGGCGGAGGTTGCGGTGAGCCGAGATTGCACCATTGCACTCCAGCCTGGGTAACAAAAGCGAAACTCCGTCTCAAAAAAAAAAAAAGAAAGAAATAGATGATTCCATCACTTTAATGGTACACACTTGCTCTGGCTTTGAGACAGAAAAGATACTCCAAACTAGTCAGGGATAGGAGTGGTAAGGGGCATAGTGACTTTTGTAGTTGCTATCACATCCACACTGAATCCTTTCTAGTCTTCCAAGTTGATTTCCTCGCTTTTTTTTTTTGCCAGGAATTTTGAGCTACCCTGGTTGGATGAGCGTAGCAGATGCAGGTTGGAGATCCAGAAGAAGCAAACGCCTCACCGGACATGTAGGAAATAGCTGTGCTGGCAAGAACCCTGTCCTCAGATAGTTGTAGCATGCCATTCCAGAGAGTGGCAGAGACCTGTATATGTGACCTTTGTCCTCACATGTTATCACTCGCTGATAATACCCTTTCATACTCCCTTGACTTTGTTTTCATCACTCTGATTTCACAAAAAGACTTGCATTCAGCTAATTGTGAGTTATGGAGGGTGACTGGGATTTCTTTTCCCTTTTTTGGGAAATGGACTCTCAAGCTAAATCTATAGGATGGCAGATTCAGAAGTTTCAGGTGTCTGTTTCCATACATTTGCCTATGTTAATGGGGTAAAAGGGCTTTCTTCATTAGACATGTGGAAGATGAAGCAACCCCTTCCTTTAGAGCTGTGCCTGCATGGCACTCTCCTCTCCCTGGTACACCCTCCTTATAGTGGGTATAGTGGTTTTTACCCGAAAATAAAACAGAAAACCTCACCATGAGCTTTAGGACCAGATAAGTAATGACAAGTGAAGCGATGAAGCAGGTCATCTTCACAGAGTAGAAAAGACATCGAAGAGCTGGTAGATAACTGTCTGAAAAGATAGTTGTTTTCTTGAAACTATTCTGTGATATAGCCATGTGGGAAGGGATGTTTGACTGTGATTGTTTTCTCAGTGAATGGGTACTGAATTTGTTTCCCTACCCCTCAAAAAAACAAAATCTTTAGAAAAGAAAATGGGGGTGGTTAGTTTCAGAACAAGTTACAGCTGTAAACAAAAGCAGTTAACATTTTGGATGGCATGCCCAAACCTGTATAGATGTCCTTGTATCACATCACTTCTCAAGTATTCCTTGATTGGGCTTCATCCTGCTAGTTGAGCTCTTGATGATCAAGTAGAGACTTAGGGAGGATAGGAGGAGAGTGGAAATAGGTCCTTCCTTTGGCTGGCAAATGTCTACATCTTGAAACAAACAGATGTATCTAATGAGCTTCTCCATTCACTTTGTAAAAAGAGATTTGTATGTGTGCCATCTTGGTCCTCTCCCCTCCCCTGTTTTGTTAAAATATCAGGCTAGCACTCTCAGGCCACTTTGGTCTCAGTGTAAGATCCCTATTAACTATCTGAAAGGAAAATAGAGCCAAGACCTCTGGTCTCAAATATATAGGAATTGCCTTTCTTTAGTCTTCAGGACTATTGTGTGAAAACAAGTAGGGGTCTAATCTCCTAGACAGTAGGGACTTTTATCATTGAAGAGAATATGTCCCCAGATTATTAGCACTTTTAGAGGAGAAGCCAAGGTATGTAGGGTGTGTGGCCGGCCCATCAGTGGAGCATGAGAGAGAATGGGATACCATTGTGGGAAGAGAAGAAAAGTTCCTCAGGGGCCTCCCACTGCTAAAGCTTTTTGTGAGATATTGATCTGTGCTTCCTGGATTTGACTTTTAAAGGAATTATTCTGGCAGCACATGGAGTATTCTTGGATGATCTTGCTGCTCTTATTTCTCCTTTTGTGTATGTGTGTGTGGCTATGGGTTTTCATTTGTAACTCCATCTGCTTAGGAGAGTGGGCTCTCTATAAGGGAACCTGTTGTAAACTTCGTTGCAGCAAGGATGTAGAGAGAAGTAGGACTTAATTCCAGTAGGGGCTGTCATCCCACACCTTAAGGAGAAGGAGATTTCTAGAAAAACTAGGCCAGATTTTCTTTGTTCATCATTTTAATGTGGCAGGCTGTTCAGTTTTCTTATTCTGACCTATGTTATATTTCTTCATAACGTGTCCAAAAAGAAAAAAGACCCACCCAATCAGTGTTTCTCGACTTTGTTTTTTGATCCCTCTCGGTTTCTTCTTGATTTCAGCATGTATTAGATTCCTAATTTTGGATACGAGTTAGCAAATTTAACCATTATATTTGTACCCTACCCAGGGGACTCCCCAATTTCTGACTTGAACTAGACTGAGAGGAATCTACGAGGTGCTATCTGGCCAGACTGAAGGAGATTCTATTTCCTTGGTTCTCCCTCTCCCTGAGGACCTCTTACTTTATTGCCCCCTCTTCTAGGTTAATTCTCCTTTGATTTGACTTTGTTGAGAAGGAGGTTGGAGAGTAGATTAGTAATGTTCCAAGAGCAAAATTACAGTGTGTTAGAGTGTGGGGGGAAAATTAGTCTTATTTTTCCCTACATGGGATACAACACTGTGAATTCAATCTTCAACTGAAGGCCCTGCAGTTCTCCTAAAACATAGTTGTTTGTTTTTCTTTAACAAAGTTTAAGCTAGTGTTAATAAATTAAAAAAAAAAAAAGAAATTGCTTGTCTGTCTACTTCAACTTTGTTTTATGCCCATTTCATATTGTCTGTGTTGTAATTCATAACTTTTGATACCATTTCTGATGTGTAAAATTGGTTGTCTTGTAAATATCTTATAAAGAGTTCAATTGTAAATAAACTATTGTGGCTGTTAATTTTTGAACTTCTGCTTCAATTTATTATCTTTATTAGCAAACGTTAAACAATTCTGCTTGTATATTTGAACCATTGGAAAAAGAAATCCATTTTCATAATAATAAAGAATAACATTATTTTCCCTTTTATATAAGGTACTCACTTCCATTTGTGTATAAGTAGAATGTATGTTTCATCCTTCTTTATCCAGTGTGCTTCCTTAAGTATAATTAGCAACTTGGCTGGTTGCAGTGGCTCATGCCTGTAATCCCAACACTTTGGGAGGCTGAGGCGGGCAGATCACTTGAGGTTAGAAGTTCAGGACCAGGCTAGCCAACAAGGTAAAACCCTGTCTCTACTAAAAATACAAAAATTAGCCAGGCATGGTGGCACATACCTGTAATCCCAGCTACTTGGGAGGCTGAGGCAGGAGAATCTTTTGAACCTGGGAAGTAGAAGTTGCAGTAAATTGAGCTCAAGCCACTGCATCCAGCCTGGGTTACAGCAAGACTCTGTCTCAAAAAAAAAAAAAAAAAAAGCCAGGCACGGTGGCTCCTACCTGTAATCCCAGCACTTTGGGAGGCTGAGGCAGGAGGATCACCTGAGGTCAGGAGTTTGAGACCAGCCTGGCCAACATCATGAAAGCCCATCTCTACTAAAAATACAAAAAATTAGCCAGGTGTGGTGGCAGGCACCTGTATTCACAGCTGCTTGGGAGGCTGAGGTAGGAAAATCTCTTGAACCTGGGAAGTGGAAGTTGCAGTGAGCTGAGATCAAGCCACTACATCCACCCTTGGTGACAGTAAGACTCGTGTTTTTTTTTTAAAAAAAAAGGCCGGGCGCGGTGGCTCACGCCTATAATCCCAACACTTTGGGAGGCTGGGGTGGGTGGATCACGAGGTCAAGAGATCGAGACCATCCTGGTCAGCAAGGTGAAAACCCGTCTCTACTAAAAATACAAAAATTAGCTGGGCATGGTGGTGTGCGCCTGTAGTCCCAGCTACTCGGGAGACTGAGGCAGGAGAATTGCTTGAACCCAGGAGACGGAGGTTGTGTTGAGCTGAGATCGTGCCATTGCACTCCAGTCTGGGTAATAACAGCGGAACTCCGATTCAAAAAAAAGAAAAGGGGGCTAGTCTCGTGGCTCACACCTGTAATCCCAGCACTCTGGGAGGCTGAGGTGGGTGGATCACCTGAGGTCAGGAATTCAGGACCAGCCTGGCCAACATGGTGAAACCCTGTCTCTACTAAAAATAAAAAATCCAAGCTACTCGGGAGGCTAAGGCAGGAGAATCACTTGAACTTGGGAGGTTGCAGTCAGCCGAGATCACATCATTGCACTCCAGCCTGGGTGACAGAGGAAGACTCTATCTCAAAAAAAAAAAAAAAAGCATAATTAACAATTTTAGAAACGAGATTATAGGATATGTGGTCCCTATAAGTTAAGATGTCTAAGTTAGAGTTCGAAAGACCTTAGAGGTCATCTAGTGTGACCCCTGGTACGTGATTTTCCCTTGATAACATTCCAGACAAGTGAATTCCAGCTTCTGCTTCAACACTGTTTTTCTACATACATTTTTCCCCTAAGTGTTTGAAAATTCTTGCTTGTTGACAAAATCTAACTTCTTGTAACTCAAACTGAATGGTTTTGCTTTGCCTTCTAGGATGATGACAAAAAGACAAATCCCTCCTTTTGTTCATAGTCCCTGGTTAAAGACTGCTGTGGGTATCCCAAGTCTTCTCTTCATGCTAAACATTCAGCGATCTTACAATTGTTCCTTGAAAGAAAATATTCTGGTTTTTCAGTTCCCTCTAGAGGAGTGAACAATTTACCCATTTCCATTTAAAAATTGGACCCAGACCAAACAACTGAAGGACAAAGTGGCAGACTATCATTTTCCTTATTTAGACACTGAACTTGGCAGCCTTATTTGACCAATTTAGCTCATGATCAATAAGATCCTCCAGGTCTTTTTCTTTAACACTTATTAAATCATATATCCTCCATTTTGAAGTCAGGCAGTTGGCTTTTGGAGCTGGACTTATAAGTTGTCATGTTTGACTACCTGTCTAATTACCTGAGATTGTCTGAATTCTCATTTAATCTCTGAAGGCATTTGTAAATAATTCCAGTTTCATGTTGTCTATAAATCTGATAAACATCAGAATCCTTAACCATGTTGTTCATAAAAATTTTACTCAGTAAAGAATCCTATGCCATAGTGGCCTTTTTTTTTTTTGAGACAGAGTCTTGCTCTGTTGCCCAGGCTGGAGTGCAATATGATCTCGACTCACCACAACCTCTGCATCCCGGGTTCAAGCGAGTCTCTTGCCTCAGCCTCCTGAGTAGCTGGGACTACAGGCACGCACCACCATGCCTGGCTAATTTTAGTATTTTGGTATTTTTAGTTGGGGTTTTGATATGTTGGCCAGCCTGGTCTCGAACTCCTGACCTTGTGATCCACCTACCTCAGCCTCCCAAAGTGCTGGGATTACAGCGTGAGCCACCGTGCCTGGCTAGTGGCCTTTGTTTGATACATATATTATTAAGGTGCACTCCTGTAGGTGCACTAAAAACTCATGCACTTTGTATATCCTTATAATGATCCAAAGAAAATATACTGATTCTTTTCGTTGGTGACAAATTCCTTGCCAAAATAAAAGCACTGCCATAAACCTTAAGAATGAAATGTCAGGATTTTGAATCAGCATCGGTTCCTACTGACCATTTCTTTTTAAATAGGTTCTAGGCTGGGCGCGGTGGCTCAAACCTGTAATCCCAGCACTTTGGGAGGCCGAGGCGGGTGGATCACAAGATCGAGACCATTCTGGTCAACATGGTGAAACCCCGTCTCTACTAAAAATACAAAAAATTAGCTGGGCATGGTGGCGCGCGCCTGTAATCCCAGCTACTCAGGAGGCTGAGGCAGGAGAATTGCCTGAACCCAGGAGGCGGAGGTTGCCATTAGCCGAGATTGCGCCATTGCACTCCAGCCTGGGTAACAAGAGCGAAACTCCGTCTCAAAAATAAATAAATAAATAGGTTCTAAAATTCTGTTAAGGGTCAAGAGCAGTAGCTCATGCCTGTAATCAATCCCAGCATTTTGGGAGGCTGAGACGAGAAGATCGCTTGAGCCCAGTAAGGAGCTCGAGACCGGCCTGGGCAAGAGTGAGATCCCTAACGCTCCAAAAAAATAGAAAAATTAGCCAGTGTGGTAGTGTGTGCCTGTAGTCCCAGCTACTAAGGCAGCTGAGGCAGGGAGGTCACCTGAACCTGGGAGGTCATGGCTGCAGTGAGCCGTGATCGCGCCACTGCACTCCAGCCTGTGCAACAGAGTGAGACCGTCTCAAAAAACAAAACGAAACAAAACCGATAATGCTGGCATCATACCAGCCTGCACTTTGGGAGAGGTGATGGCTGAGGTGGGAAGAAACGTGAAGAGGGAAGAGGAAATTAGGACACAGAGAAAATGCTGCAACAATAAGTCCTCTGGCTTCACTGCAGACAACTGGTTTCTCCTTCGCCCGTTATCTTAAACTGGGCTGCTGTAGCAAATCTGACGCAGCACTACGGCGTTTGAGATTTACCTTGATTCGTGATTTTACCAAGCAAAGGAATGCAGTAAATTGACCTGCCTCAAACGTAGGTAGATGTGAGAAATGGAAACAGAAAACCATGCAACAGCCCCAGTGTTGCAGTGAAAATGTGACAGGTCGACAACGCTTTCCATTCGGGAAGCCCAAGATGGCCGGGCCAAGGACCCCGGGAGGCTGCTGAAGTCCAACTTCCCTCGCCCTAGGCCTGCCCAAGGGAAGTCAGGAGCCGCGCCACGCCCACTTACGTCACCGACAGACGTAATCCGGTTCGGCTGCAACCGTGCGGCAGGCCGTAGGCCCCGCCCCCTTCCCAGCCCCTCCCCGCCCCCCCCCCCCCAGCAGGGTGGCCGAGCGCCGCGCGCGTAGCACGCCGGGACTAGCTCTCGAGCCTCCCAGCAACCGACGGGCGCGGTGCGTAAGTAGCTCGCCGGCGGTGGCCGTTGTCCGTAAGATGGCGGACCGGCGGCGGCAGCGAGCTTCTCAAGATACCGAGGACGAGGAATCTGGTGCTTCGGGCTCAGACAGCGGCGGCTCCCCGTTAAGGGGCGGCGGTAGCTGCAGCGGTAGCGCCGGAGGCGGCGGCAGCGGCTCTCTGTCTTCACAGCGCGGAGGCCGAATCGGGGCCCTTCATCTGCGGCGGGTGGAAAGCGGGGGCGCCAAGAGCGCTGAGGAGTCGGAGTGTGTGAGTGCGCGTCGGCGGGGCGAGGTGGGGGCCGGGCGGCGAGCCGGCCGGGCGGAGGGGCGGGCTGTAGGTGATGTTGGTGTCTGGGAGTTGATAGTAGATAGTGAGACTTTTTTTTTTTTTTTAAAGAGAAAAGGAGTTATCCCAATGAGAGTTGCATCTGGAGTTCCAAGGGAAGAACGGTTGGGGGATTCTGGGAGGATGGCAGTGTCGGTGGGGATGGAAAGCGGCTGATTATTCAGAAATCCGGGCTGGAGGGAAGGAGACCGGACTTGCCTCGGATGCTACTTGTGAAAGATTTATTATCTCCGTCTCCCTATTCAACCATTTTGTGTTGAGTCTTTAGCTCTTCACCCACATTTCTTTATTGGCCTTCCCACCTATGGAAATCATAGAACTAACCGACGTCTTCTACTTTCCTGCAGGAGAGTGAAGATGGCATTGAAGGTGATGGTGAGTATTATCTTTTACCCCGTTATGACAAGAATTTTATTTTTTAATTTTTAATTTTTTTATTTTTAAAATCTTGTCTTTCCTTTCAGTGTTATCCAAAATAGTTTTTTTTTTTTTTTTTTTTTTTTTAACATAAGCTCAGGCTGGGCGAGGTGGCTCACGCCTATAATCCCAGCACTTTGGGAGGCCGAGGCGGGTGGATCACGAGGTCAAGAGATCGGGACCATCCTGGTCAACATGGTGAAACCCCGTCTCTACTAAAAATATAAAAATTAGCTGGGCATGGTG